TGGCACAGAGAAAACAAAACTGGTGCATTCACTTTCTGTCAAGGGTTGGCCTGAACTCTCTGAACTCTTGGAAAAACAAATGAGGGTTTGGTTTTTGAACTAGAGTCAATGCAGGCCAGAGGTTGGAGAAAGGTCTGCTTATTGCACAAGCTGGTATTTCTTATTTCGATCTAGGGGATGCATTGTAGAACTGCATCTCGTGGCGGGGGACTTAAAAGCAGGGAATGGAAAAAATTTGAACAGCCTTGATGTAAGCCTTTTATTTTGCCAATATCTGGAGAAATTGGAAAACATGAATTTTTTTAAAAAAGGGCAGGGCTATTCCCGGTTTTGGGGATCTTCTTAAAGGGTCAGCCATATACTTAAGCAGAATTAGCTCCACAATGTGAGGTAGCTGTCCGTACATAATTCTCCATGCTCAGTGGCCTTTTGGAAACCACTGCATGCCATCTGCTCTTTGTGGTTGCCCATCAGATCGATGAAGGACTGTTTTCCAAGCCGTTTCTCTCTTTCTAATTAAATGACCTTCTTTCAATCAGTTTGAACTTGTATTAATGGAGATGCCGATGAATTATTCAGTCTGGTCAGCCCAAGGGAGCCCTTGCGTTGATAGCGAGTGAGCTTCAGGAAGACGGTCCTGCTTATCCGAAGTAGCAGGAGAAAGTTTTCTTTGTTGGTGCAGCAGAAATGCAAGGCCTCATCACCTGAAATAGTCTCCACCAACCTGTTGATTTCTAGATGCTTGGGACTACAACTCCAAGCGTTCTTAACGATAGGCCATGTTGCTAGCCAGGGGCATTCGGACTGGCCACTGAAATACCTGGAAGGCACCAGGTTGGGGAAGGCAGAACTAAAAGGTTAATTCCCCATGCCTTGATAAGAGGGAGATGAAGAATTGGAGGACTGAATTCACCTTCGGGTAAGTTATTTTTGTGGGGGTGAGTAATGGGGGCTGAGGGCAAAGGAAGAAAGGCCTGGGGTGAAAAGTGGGTTCCTAAATTTAGCCTTCTCAGGATTCTCCATTTTAAAATTCCCGTTGCCTTGGACGGGCATTTAAAATGCCTTTTCGAGTGAGAGGAATGACTGCAGAAAAGCTGGGAAGCCACCAAAGCATTGGTCAGGGAAAGGAAGGTGTGGGCAAGGGGGTGTGATCTCTGGGATCGCCCCCAAGAATCAGTCCAAGACCCTAGAAGGGCTGCAATTCCCTGCCTTGACTTTTGGTTGCTCCTTCTCCTGACATAGCTCCATTGGGGTTGGATTCTTTCCACGTTCGGTCAGTGGGAGGTACGGGCTTCTCTGCTTTCTCTTCGGATGTCATTGTCTCCTGCAGCCGCAGCCCTCTCCGTTGTAAAACCGCCTCCGATCATTAATTCTCCTTTCCTAACCAGGGCAGGCAGCCGGCTCTTATGTCTTCTGTAGGAAGCTGGGCGTTTTGACAAGGATAGCTTGTCTTGTGAGCCGGCGAAGTGGGGGAGAGCCCTGCCCGCTGCAGTGCTTTTCACGACACGGGCCCCGAGAACTTGGCACGGCGAAGCTGTGTGGATTAGATCTGCGTGATTTCGTTTTGACCTGGTAGCAGTCGGAGAGCAGGAAGCGGGGAGGGGGTGATGACGGTGGCCAGGCTGGGCTGGGCTGGGCCAGGCCGGCCAGGCCCACTGCAGCGATGCTGATAAAGTTGCAGTAGGCGACTGGAGTGGAGCGGGTGCAGGTTCTCCTCCGTCAGCTGTCCCCGTCCGCCTTGTAGTTCCGGCTGAGCAGGGGAGGCAAGCCTCCAAGCTGACCAGCCAGGTAAGAAAGGGAGTCGGGCTTGGGATGAGTTGGTGGCTGAAGCAGACTCAGTTTTATTTCCGTCATGTCCCGACGGTGCGGTGATTTAAGCCAGCTCGAAGGACAGAACAGCACGTGGGGAGGTGGGTTCCCCCCCCAAGTGGGTGGGGTTGTCAGACTGTCTTGGAGGTGGTGTTTTAAGCAGACTTTGCTGACCTAGTGCCCTGCAAATGCACCGAACCGGAGCTTTTGCAATCCTGCAAGGCCTGGGAGTCGAGGCCCGACTTGCATCTGGAGGGTACCAGGGTGGCAGACACTGATTTCATGTGTCAAGAATGTGGAAGCCGCTTTAAAGCAGGGCTTGGCAAGGGGGCTGCGGGCAGGAAGCGAAGTGCTCCCAGCAACGGGTTCCCATCAAAAGGGGGTCCCTTTAAGGCCTTTAAATCCAGGGTTTAAGACGATCGGACGGGCTGTACCTCTGTTTGCGTTGCATGCAGAACGGCTCTAGTCCTTGGCTTCTTAGGCTAGCGAAGTTTGAGGATCTCTCTCCCTAGGAGTTTTGGGAACAATTAGTTGCTGGTCAGATGCTAGACGAGAGTAACTGTGACTCAAACACTTTGTGTGCTCGTCTGCGTTGCTCTTGCAAAATGCAGAATCTTTCTTGCTGCAACAGAGAGAGTGTCTTTTTCTGTGGAAAGGAAGGGTGAACAAGAAAGGCCAGTCCTGCAACCTATATATACTGGCTGTGAGACTTGTGGCCTTTTATTGGCTGTAAGGAGAAGTGGACATTTCCTTATTTCGAGACTGTGTGTATGGGCCCCGGTGGTTTTGTTGATTTGGCTCTTCCAATATGCCTGTTATTGTTTATTGTATTTACATCCCACTGTTTTTCCTCAAGACACATGTCATTCTACTTTCACAACAACCCTGTAAGGTAGGCCAGGCCGACACTGTGTCTGGCTCAGAGTTGCCCAGTTGAGCTTAATGGTTGAGTAGGGGCTAGATCCTGCATATCTCTGCATTGTCCAAGTGCTGGGAGAACCCACACTAGCTCTCAGGAAATGATGTGTCATAAAAATTAGAAAGCCTAAAGCAGGTGGCAACTCCCCCCCCCCCAAAGGTGCATATCTCTATAACAGCTTTTCCTAGGCCTGTGTTTTCCCTCCAAATGTGGGATTGCAACCACCATCATCCCCAGCCAGAATAGCCATTGACTGTAGATGGGGGGCATTGCAGTCACAAACTTGATGGAACAATTGAAGACACAACCAGCCAGAGCTGAGAGAAGCATAAAACCAGTTAGAGGGACACATACTGTGGAGAAATCCTTTGCCTCTCTGTTTAGTTCAGCCACATTTATTTTCATTATTTGTTTGTCTCTGCAGTTTATTATGATTTTCCATTCTCTTTTAACAATAATAACAAGAGAGACATTAAAAAAACACCCTTGGAAAAGCAAATACATTGCGAGTGGTTCAAAATTATGTGGAGGAAAAAGAAGCATGGAATTAAATTTGTTCTTCTGGATAACTCAGTGGCACGTGAGCTGTTTTATATAGGTTTACTCAGAAGTAGGTTGTACTCTGTTCGGTGAAGCTTACTCTGAAGAAAGTAAGCAGCCTCCTTGGGGAGGAAGCCCAAACCAGCCACCAACCGACCTGCTGTTTGCTTTCTCATCTGCCTCATCTCTCCAATACTGATCTACCTTACAGGGCTGTAGTGAGGATTCCATCAGCAAAAGATACGAGCACTTGAATACTTCCAGATCCATGCGCTGTTCCAACATGGCACTGCTCTTTTGGCCTCGCTCTCCTTGATGGATATTTTTGTGCCAAGAAAAACAAAGCTGGAAGAAGTAATGGATGACAGGAAAACATGGCAGGGTGACAGATGCAACCTGGGACCCCCATAAAATGCTGTGAATGATGGAACGGTGTGGCTTTTGTTAAAACTTCATCTGGAAGCAGCTCTGGGCGAATGCAAAAACCTTTCCCTGCTGCGTTTTGCTTTTCTGGCAAAAGAGCCAGTACCAGAAGAAGGTGCTTGCTTTTCAGTTCTTATTTGTTTTATTCATCACTTACCTGCAATCTATACAGGACGGGCTGATGGTGCAGAGGGCAATGTCGAGGTATTCATTGTCTCCTCTTTGGGGTTTCTGCTAGTCAAGGCTTGCTTTTCCCCCTCCACCTAGATTAAGAAACCACTGAAACTTGGCTAGACCCCTGTTCCTCTCCTCACACCCCATTTTATTGTCTTCCTAGCTGTGCTGCTTTGTCCTAGTCAGAGGCCAGGAAATATCTTCTGCAGCTAAGATGAATGCCAGCACATCATTTGCTGACCCTTGCAGCATCCAAGAGTACTTGGTTTTATCATCATCTCTTTAAAAGGTATTTTGTGGGAGGAAATTCCTTTTATAAAACTTCTTTTCTTTCCTTTCCAACTGAAATGCAAACTTGAAAAGCCAGTGAGACGGTTGACCTGGACCGTGGTTGACCTCTTGCCTGAAAAGAGAGGCATGTCAGAAAGAGAGCCAATTTATTATTTATTTATTCGTGTATTTAAAATATTTATATGCTGTCCTAATTGCAAAAAAGCCTCAGGATGGCTTACGAAGTAATAACAATGCAGTGTAGTGGTTAAAAGCTGGGACTGGGAAACTCAGGTGACCTGGTTCTGGTCCCTGCTTTGCCATGGAGCCAACTGGGTGATCTTGGGCCAGTCACAAACTCTCAGCCCAGCCTACCTGACAGGATTGTTGTTGCAGGGATAAGGAATGCAGGAGGAGGAGAATGATGTAAGCCACTTTGAGTTCTGAGTAGGAAAAAAGCAGGATATACATCAAAAAAGGAATGAGGCAATTATTCTTGGTAACTGATTCTCTCTGCTGTAAAAGTTTTCTAGGCCATCTTCCGAAAACAATATGAGATGATTCAAGACAACAGTGTAAAAAAAAGTCATACAAGGAGGGGAAAAAGGAAAGGCAAACAAACCAGGCTGCTGTTAAAAAAAGCCCCAGATGTGCAGACAGATTTAGCCTGGAATCAAAAATACAGAACTGGGTAACTCATACAGTCTGGACTTCTGCTAATTGCTGAAACTCCAGAGTGAAGGGATCTTGAAGATAGAATGGCCCAAGGTTTGCTTGAAGGGCTTCCTCAAAGGAGACTTTTAGGTTATTGCTTCTCCACATAGGTGTTCAGCCAAGAACTGCTCCTCCAGTAAATGAATAAATCTGAATTTAGCCTTCACCCTGGTACAGTGGTAAAAAGGCTTTGGTCCTTGGACTCAAAGAATTTGGTCCTTGGACTCTGGCAGCCCCTGGTGTGGATCCTCTTCGAACACCATCGGCACAAGCGCGGTGCCACCACAGAGAAGGCCTGCCCCCAGGTCAACCCTGTCTAACTCACAAAGACCAGGGCACAACCTCAGTCAAAAGACAGGCTCACGGAAGCTGTGCTTCAGAAACTTGGGTCCAGACATTCAAGCTGTTCTGGCAAGTGTGCTGGAAATTGAGGCTGAAAGATGAAAGCCGAAAGCCTGTGTCGTGTTCAGAGATCTTCATTGTTTCCAGGAATGGCTGGGAAAAAGCCTTCCCCGAAACCTCAAGTCTGTTGCACCACCCTTCTTGAGCCTGATGTTCTGCAGGTGCTTTGGGCTCCATCTCCTGTCGGTTCTGACCACTGGCCATGCATGTGGGTCCTCACACACCCCAGAAGGGGGCCGGTGGGGGAAGCCTGGGGCGGATGATGCTGAGTTAGAGATGAGTAGTCTGTCTCGGTTGAGTGCCACCTCCTTTGGAGTGCCTTGGAGACTTCGTTATGGGGAATGCCTTCATCTGGGTCGGCCCTACCATTAGGTAAGGTAAGGTGTTTGCTTCAGGTTGTAGACGCTGCAGGAAGATGGGAGAGGAGAGGGCACCATGCCCCACTAAGCTAGCTGGCAGCCTTCAGCTTTGGCGGGGGAATGGTTGTCCCACTCCACTATCAAAGCATAGGATCCAGCTGCAGTTGTGGGCATGGTGTCGAAAGTTGTGTTATTTTCCCCTTTGCCCTGAGCACCAGAATGTCTTGGACCACCCTTGATCCAGGTTTGGGCCAGAATTTCTCAGTGGGCAACCTCCTGGTTAGCCTCTGAGCCCAATTCAGACATGGCTTGTGGGGGCTTTTGTTCTTTCTATTTATGGCTTGCTCAGGGAGGGCACCTGAGTGTAGTTACAAGCGGGATGGACTGTGACTACAGGCGTGTGGACATCGGCGTGATGCTCGTGGCACCGAGCATGAAAACTCCCATGAGAATATGTCAGTGTGCAAGGTGCAATCTTAGCCGTATCTGTCTCAGAGATGGCACAGAAATGCAAAACATAAGGAAGCTTCTCTCGGACCTCTCCCCTCCTGCTTCTTTTTCTGCATGCGCAAAAAATGCTCCGTGTTACAGGATGCATGGCTCTCCTTTTCTCTCTCCCTCCCTGGACCTCTTCTTGGGCCTTGCAGCCGTCACCCTGGCTCCTCTGTTTGCCGCTCGTTTTAGTCCTCTCGGCAGAAACGGCCACGGAAATCCAGCCCTGTGGCGCTGTCGTGAGCCACAGTTCATAATCACAGGGTTTTATTTTTAATCTGGAAGTGATAATTAAGTATGGCATGATTACAGCAGCTGAGAAGGGTGAAGGCGGAGGGCAAACTTTGAGCAGTGTGATGTAACGACTTCCTGGGAAAGGTTTTAAGAAGGAGCTCCAGGAGTTACTTCCCCAAGGAGACCCTCTCTGCCTTCCATCCCATTTTTTTTTTTTTGAGCCCTAAGAATGGGGCAAGCTCGAAACGCATCCCTTATAACAGCTCTTAGCAGTTAAGAAGAGTAAGAGTGGTGTGTCCAATGGCAATCTAGCCTCTTCATGAAGGGGCTGTTGTGTTGTCTGAACCTAGACAACCTGGAGCAGGGGTCTCAAGCTCGCCGGCCAGTGGCCGGGACGGACGGGGCACGGGGGGGGGGCCTGTGGCCTTCAAAGTGCCGGGGATGAGCGGCCCACCACCACCGCGGTGGGGGAATCCTTGATGCGGCCCAGCCTCACCCAGACTCTACTTCCAGCGGCCCCCAGGTAAGTTGAGTCTGAGACCCCTGACCTAGAGCATGGGTACCAGGGATCGACTACCAAAGTGCTTGGCAAGAGTGTCCAAAACGTTTTGCTGTCTTTGCCAGCTGTGTCCTGGCACCCCTCCAAAGTGCCCAGGTGGACCTTTTGGGCCTCCCCGGACACTTTGCTGCGGTCTTGACCATTTCATGCTTGCTGAAGCTTTTAATCTCATTATCTTTTTTCTTTCCTGCCCTTGGGGATTGTGAAAGTCATCTTAACTATGGACTTTTAAGATGACTTTTTTGTACTAACTTGGCTAAGGACTTGCCCCTTCAAAGTGTCCCGGGGCACCCTCAAGGGACTATCTGTGTTTTCCAACATCTTTTAAAAAGTTTATGGTTATTATTTTAACTTTTTCCTGCAGTTGTGCCATACAGAGATGTGGATTTGGGTAGGTGTGGGATTGGGAAGTGGGGGGGTGAGCCGTGAGCAGCGGGGTAGAAAATCTAACACCCCTGTCTTACAGGACTTTCAGGTTTTAGCCTGACACTGGCTTTTATCTAGGTGTCAGTGTGGCCCAGAGACCTGCTTTTTTGCATTTGCTTCTGTGTTTCTAATGTAATTTGTAGTGAAGCGCTCCACTAAAAATGCCTTTTTCCAACGCTCGAGAATTATTATGAATGCAAAGCTTTCAGAGCAGGAATTTGTTCTGCTCCTGCCTCCACCTCTGGGAGTCCCGATGGCTGATTCTTTGTGATATGTATAACAGGATCAGGCCTTGCCTACTTCTGGCCCAACAATCGCCTCTCTGTTTTCACCATTGTGGGCTTGCAGTGAGATCAATGTTATCACTTTACGGAGTGCTTTCTTGGTTTGTCATTCTTCCTGAGTCCTGGGTTCAGCCTGGGAGAAGGGCAGCGTAGCTCTTCCCTGCATTCTTGGAGGCTGAGAACTTGGAAAAGTAGAAGGAAAGCCCCTTCCACTCCCCTTTTTCAACCTTTCGGTTGACCTTACATATCGATGAGCAGAGAGGTAGAACCCTATTTATTGAAAGCATATTTATCCTGCTTTTTCAACCTGCTAGAATCCTGAGCTGGCTTACATATGATCAGTACAGCAAGACAGTTGATAACCTCAGGAGTAGAATCTCAAAGTCACAGCACACAAGGAAGAAGGGATTGGCAGGTAGAAGAAAGAATAAGGCTTTCGGAAGGATTTGAGGAATGGCCCCTTTTCTCCCTTTTGGCTCCCTCCGTACAGTTTACTGGAATGATGAAACAGGGTGGAAAATGGCAAGTAGCTGTAAGTTTTAAAGATTTGTAAGCTGTGACTGAATTCCTATCTGAGTCAGAGAATCACATCAGTTTAGTTTACTTTCCTCGTGTCTCCCCGAATCTCTAACACCGTCCTTTTAATTGTACTGAGCCCCCGATGACGAGTATTACGAGAGAGCAAAACATTTATCAGGGCTTTCTCTGCAACCTGCTAAATTTGTATGACTGTTATTTTCTGGTAGCTCACATTAGTAAGAAACCCTTGAATTTTACTTCTGCTCTTCCTGTCAAGAAAAAAAAGGAAGCTAACATGAAATGAACTCAGTGTTGAGGTCAGGTTGCTGGGTGGGAGGAGCTGAGCTGAAATCCTGTAAGTTTCAGAGAGTGTGCGTGGGTTTAAAAGTATCATGTGTGCGTTTGCCTGGTTGTTTCTTTTAATCATCCTTCCCTCGAATATATGGGGTAACGAGCACTTTTCACCTTATATGTTATATGCAATCTTGCAAAATTGGCTTTGAGCATACCTGAATTGCACATGATACCGCATACAGTTTGTAACTGCTTATGAGAAGTCGAAGTGTCTCTCTAGTCCTTAGAACTGAAGGGCTTTCTGATATAGCAAGAGGACTAGAAACTTGAGTGTGGGGGTTTTTAATTACTGATCTCCTAGGATGGTGTTGTGTGATGGATTAAGCAG